ATATGTATATATATATTTTTATTATACAAAATTTTGATACCTGTGAAATAATTAATGCTAATCCTTTCTTATTTATAAATTCCAACGCAAAGGTCATGTCTATGCTGAGTGTACTCAGTTTCTGCAGAGCTGCCACTTTCTCTTCTGCCGTACCATTATTAAGCTTAGCCAAAATATCACTCGCTGTTTTCGAGGGTGAAAACTCCAATCTGAGAATACTGCCATTCTTCACCTCGTTTCTATTCTTCTCCGTAATATAATTTTGATTGTTACTTTCCGAAAATTGTAATGAGTATGATTCGGCATCAGATAAGCCCCATCCATTGCATAATTCCTAAAATTAAAACAAAATGTTAATCATTAATTAATATAAAGTATTAGAATGCATTCCGTTATTTTTACACAAACACACACACACACACACACACACACGAAATATAACAATACAACTGGGAGAGAGATAATTTCTCACGCTCTTCCTCCCTCGTTTCAGAGACAAAAATTTGAGAATTGGAGTAATATATAGATTATAGATGCACACTCTGTGCACAACTAAATTACGATAGCGTATAATCGGTACAATAGATACACGTCACGATGAGATTATAGTTAGTAGTAATCAATAAAATCGAGAGAATACATGTACCTGAATAATTCCAGCCAAAGGTTGCTTTTGATTGAACTCGATGAGCTGCGGCACCTGATCGGTCATCTGAACGGCGATTTTCACGATATTCGAATCCTTTTGAACCGGCATTTTGATCGCTTGCGTGTACATAAAAGAAGCGAGAACGAGACTCGTACGAGACGGCGAGATGCGCGATTACAGTGATCCCTGCACACTACTCCAGTTTATTTACAATCCGTTGGCGAGTTTGACGTTTCCGCTGTCATAACGATTCTGATGATTCTGACTGAACGATGCAACCATGCAACGATCACGTGACTACAAAATTACTTATTAACAGCAACAGCCAAGCCAACAGCAGGCGAGCCCGCTTCCGTTCCATTACCGGAAACGATGCTAGGCTGAGCATATTATATGTTGTATGTTGTATGTGACGTGATACATATGTATGTACGACATGACCGTCGCAAATTAAATCCAATTCAACTTTTGCGTGTCCACTAGATTATTATTCTGAAATTAATTAAATTGAAGCTGCACGAGAATTAAAATTTTCAAATAAAATAGTTATAGAATATTGTATCGTATGTGTTGATTAGATTTAAAATATTAATTTCTTCTTTGAAGATTTTAACTTTGATTATAAAAATTTTCTATGCCACAAACTGTCGCTTAATCTCTATATGTGTCTGTCTCATTATTAACAAAAACAAAAATGACAAGAAATTGTGTACCGAAATAGTTACCGAGAACAGATCTAACAGATCCCGCCGCGCGTAATGATACATGGCAATATACTGGGATTACTTGGGAATCTTGGGAATTGGGATTACTGGGCAATACATGGCGATCATAGCGATGGCCATTGGTATTTGACAGCTGCAACGTTTATCGGAGCGTGTTTATCGCCGTTTATCGCCGCGGTTTCAATGTGAGTTAATTTAAAGCGGCACGAGAAACGGAGAAACGATCGAAAAATGTCTAGCGTAGACTGGGAAGAAGTGAAGCGGTTGGCCGCTGATTTTCAGAAGGCACAGCTCAGTTCGACCTTGCAAAAGTGAGTGACGCTCTTTACTCCGCAATCCAGTTAACCTAATCTTATTTTCTTATGAATAACGTGGTACTTAAAATCTGCGAATAATAAATTGTACTTGAATCACAAACATTACTTTAGTTTTTGTTATCTGACTCGTATAAGTATTTTATACGTATTTTTGCATTACAGTAGTTTATAAGAGCCCCTCCAGACAAGACTTTAAACATATGGTATTGATTAAGTAATTACATGTTGATATAAATTTATTTCTGTTAGATATGAAAGAGATGTATAGTTTCAACATCAATTCCGTTATATTTTATATCTAATAAAGATTATTTTTATAATTTTTATGATTATTATTAATGAGGTTTTAAAAAGAATTAATTTTTCTTTTTACATCATGTTTTATATCACTTTTCTCTCTATAGATATCAAAATTAAAAACCATTAGGAAAAAATGAAATTAATTTTATTATAATGTCAATGAGCTTTTCTGTCTTTTGCACTGATCTAATATAATTAAATGTATATTGTAGACTCTCTGAACGAAATTGTATAGAGATTATAATAACATTGGTAGAAAACAAGCTTCTGGACATAATATTTACCAATGATGGCAAAGAATATGTTACACCTCAGCATCTTGGGAAGGAGATCAAAGACGAGCTGTATATTCATGATGGAAAAATTAGTTTAGTCGACTTGGCGCAAATTCTTAATGTTAATCTGTCGCAAGTAACTAAAGCAGTAACAGAGATCGAGAAGCACAATAAAGGGCTGAAAGTGATATTGGGACAGCTTATAGATAAGAGTTACATTAGTAAAATTGCGGAAGAGATAAATGATAAACTTGTACAACACGGCTGTATTAATGTGGCAGAGTTAACGCTTACTTACAATCTACCATCTGATTTTTTACAATCAGTCGTCGAAAAGGAACTCGGAAAGATAATATATGCTATTCAAGATTCCCAAGATCCCAAAATTTTTTATACCGACAGCTTTATTGCTAGAAATAAGGCAAGAATTAAAGGCGCCCTATCAGCCATCACGAAGCCTACGCCATTATCTGCAATACTGGGGCAATGTGGTGTACCAGAAAGAATATTTTTCTGTAAGTACAAAATTAGTGACATGAAAGCAATCAGTTTTTAATGTCTGCATAAGTTACTACTATTTTCTTCCTATATTATTAAATTCCATTCAACAACATCAGGCTATTATATTTGTCAAAATAGTCTAATTTACCTTTTTATCTACAGACCTTAGTGCTACATTCATTCTTTATATATACATACATACACACACACAATATGTATTGCAGCAATCCTGGACAGTCTGCAAGAAGTAAAACAAGTGCCAGGAGTTGTAACTGGGAAACAAAGTGGAAATGGCATTTACATACCTACTATATACTCCAAGAGTCAAACCGAGTGGGTTGAAAATTTTTACAAGCAAAATGGATATTTAGGTAAAATATGCGATTTTAGAAATTTCCAAGATATTTTTGTGTCTCACGTGATTCAATCTATTCTTATCTTATAGAATATGACGCCCTTACAAGACTCGGAATATCAGATCCGCCAGGTTTTGTAAAACGTCATTTTTTAAATGAAAAAATGGTCCTTCTAAAATCAGTGGCTGTAGGAACAGTAGTAACGGATCAAGTCGACGCCAATATCGAAGAGGTCGTTGCGACCGGATCCTTTATCGACTTATATCCCCTTTTACCATCTGTATTTAGCGACGAAGATGCCGAACTTGTCATCAAATTAGCTACGAAGAAAATAAAGGCCAATGTGCATATATTTGCAAAGACAGTTATTGTTTCTGAGGCATTTTTGCAAACTTTAACCAAATCCCTTGAAACGGTAGCGGAACAAAAGGCTCGCGACATGGTAGCTAACGGAAAATGGATCCAATCCATCGCTGAAAATAAATTAAAATCTAAATCCGCGGATTTAATTCTTGAGAGCAAAGTGAATAAAAAGGAAGAACGAAGAAAAAAGGCAGCTATTGGTAAAGCAGGCGGCGGTAGTCAAGGCAGAGAAACCAAGACCAAGTCTACAAAGAAAAAATATCTTCAAGGAAAGATGCAGGAAAACGATTCTGACAAAGATGAGACGAGACAGACAGCGGTCGGAAGAGGTGAGATCACTGTGATAACCATGGAAGAAGTGAAAACGGAAGTTATGAAAGATGAGAACGTAGCCGTTATCAAAGAAATGGCAGACGAATTAGCGTGCTATTTGCAACCAAAACTGAACAAGTCCGCGTTAACATTGGCGGAGCAATTGGCGCAATCCAACAAGACTACTAATCTAAGCGAAATCGGCGAACGCCTGAACGTTCTAATAACGAACATTCGAATATTCGACAAGGGTATTAAACATCTGGACAAAACGGATCAAGCTCCGCTGACCAAATACTTGCTTAAATCTCTAGGTATTGATTTTGTAACAAGTATATTCAAATTGGCTGCTCAACAAAATATGCTGCAAGTAGCGGAAAATCTCACGACAGAGACAAGGCAAAGATTGCTGCTTGAATTACCTGTGGATGTTAAAGAGCCATTAACCGTTATCCATAAAACCGTAATGGGAGATTCAGTGGAAGATTTTTTGAATAACGCTGACAAGGTAATGGCAGCTTGTTGTTTGGTTTTAAAGAAGTACGATAAAAAAAAGGAGCGACCGCAGATACATGCTCACAGAGAAGCTCTGTTGGAGGAGCTGAATGCTACGCAAGATCCCGCATTGGCGTTGCACCTAGTTACAAGCGTGCTTTTCACTGCTGTTACGCAAAACGCCTTACATATGTCTGGCAGACATGTAACAACCGTTCTCACCTTCCTTCAACAGCAATTGGAACCCAATACAATGTCGACTCTTTCCAGATATCATGGTATGTAACGATTTATGACGAGATAATTCTCAAACGAAGTTTCTTTTTATATATATATATATATATATAATAAAGTATAAAATAATTAAAACTTAAAAAAATATTACACTTCTTTTCTTTTCAGATTTAGTACTCAATTTGCTAAGTGCTTCTGATGAAAACGCAAAAATGGAAGCCTTCAGGGCCTTGGAGGAAGGATTAGTGGATATCAAAAATATTGCAAACACTTTCAAACAATATATAAAAATGGACAAGTCTTGAGAGGAATTACACAAACGGCTGTATAATACAAATGATATAATATAGTCCACATCCATATTATTTGTTATATGATGCCAATTAACATTGTACTTAATAATAAGCCTATATAACACTACCTAATAATAAAACTGATAGGATATGTATGTTAACAATTAAAAAAATCAGACTGGCTTTATTGAGATATATATATATATATGTATATATATCAATAATTATGATGCTTTCTGCGATATTCGATAAATGTATTTGTTTCTCATTACGAATTCTCCCAATACTTAGGTATCTTCCATTTAGAGTGTGTTTGGAAAGATACTATTTGTCATTCTGTGTGCTTTCCATTTGATGACACAAGTCGATACAAGTATCATTGTCCTCATTATTCATTAAATGTTAAGAAAGATAAAATGTATCAACTTGTATGAGCATAAATGGAAAGTATCCTATATCTCTTTATCGTTTATTAGACGTGAAACAAGGTTAGACTGACTCAAATAGCACTAAAAGCGCCTTCCTGAAAACATTGTTTAGTGACACATAAGTTGGCACAAACGTCGTTCTATCTTTCTTGCTATTTCATGAGTATCAAAGACAGAACAATTGCTGTGTGTCACCAAATAGAAAGTATTCTTTATCTTTTCAGTAATATTATTATCTTTTCCACTTTCACAGTCAACTTACTACTAAATGCATCAATACAACTAGATGTCCACAATGATGAACTTATCTATATATATGTACATATGTATAATTTAAAAGAAACACTTGACTGTGCTGCTGTACACATAAATATATCACAAGTGCAGTATTTGTAACAACAGGTTACAAAGTTGCCAATATTCGCGTAAATCCGACACACACTGGTACCACAGTCTGCCCAATACCCCAAAACAATGCATATAAAGGTGGCATTTGATAGCCGGACGCTCTATACACAAAGGCAACTGCCGCTGAACTGACGACACCTGATGTCAGTGGCAATAGTACACCCATTATTATGATAAGCAATGGGAAAAATCTGTGGATATACATAACATTGTGAATTGATTGTTTCACAAATAGACCATAACTTACATACTTGCCGTATTTGTGCTGTCGCAAAGTAGCAAAACAAATTGCGCCAGCAATCGTATGTACAAATATCGAGGAGAACAGGGCCCAAAGAAATATTTGATACCACATCTCTGAAAAACAGAGACATTGAGAGTTGAGATGGATAACCATGAAATTTAGGTAGGATGACTTTGATATCATACTTGAATTAAGTCACGCGGTGTCCTTTTGTTACAAATAATTGTACTAATTAAGAGTGCTTTCCACTTGACGACACAAGTATTGTACTGTCTTTGACTGTTTTCCGTTTAGGAGATACAGTCGACACAAACATCGTTTGTCGATCTATTCATTAAATAACAGATAGACCGACATTTGTGCCGACTTGTGTCACTAAATGAAAAGCATCTACAGTAAATCATTACATCCTTCTTACTTAATGTTAAATAAATGTGAAATTATTACTGTGTGTTACACTTTGTCTTTTGTTAGAAAGCACCAATAGGAGTCCGGTCCAAGTCACTTATAAAATATGAAATTGTGAACAATCATAAATCAATGTGTGCGTATTCGAGTAATTGTTTACCTGCAAACGATGTTAACGGCATATAGAATACATTGCCAGAATTCACGTTTCGCAACGTCATTTGCGGTCGCGGTAAATTGATATCCGTTTGTGTATCCATTTGGGCAATGAGAAAGAAAGTGATAAACTTGTACAATCTCACGAATCCTTCGTTAATTATTTGCTTTTTTCTGCATCAGTTTTTTTTGGCAGTAGCCTTAGCAAAGAGGTTACATCAAAGCATCATTAAGATGTTACTTCAGAATTACTAGCAGCCAATAGGATTATTTCAGTTGCGATAACAAGAGACGAAGAACGGTGGCGATAATCACGCAACAGATATTCATTTTCGAAATACAAGAAAGCTGTAAAATTCAAACGTCAATGGAAAACTGCCATTATGGTGCGGTCCCATGATGCGGAATTAGCAGAACGCTCGTGACTGGTTTAGAAAAGACATATCGGCGGAGCGC